TTGTAACCCTGTCACCCTTCCCGGCCTCTGTCGACGACAGGCAGAGCAAGCGGAACAAGAGGGGTGGTGCTTGCTTCCCTTCACTGATGTCCGAAGAGGCTTGACTATCGTCTGTGGTTAAAGGCGACGCTGATAGGATTGTGCGGATTGTGAGTCTATGTGTGCTGGCAGAAGACACGGTGTTGCACATGCTGTCCATTCGCCCATTCCACAGCAAACAGCTGCTCGGGCTTCCCGCCCTCGGGAGCGGCGAACGTTCGAACTTCCTCCACCATGAGGTCAGTGCGAGTCAGCAACAGCAGCATTAAACACCATTATCGTAGCAGCCACAACGCTCGCAATCATGATTACATACTGTCATTGCAACCGTAATACACATATATATATATATATATGAACACATTAGTCGTAGCCAGCACAAAATCACCAGCAAGATCCAGGGTTACGACATTTGAAGGCATCAGTCGCGGCAGGATGTGCCGCTGTTCGGACTTTTCATTCAATGTCAGTAGACCTGATGCCTGTCCAGATACTTCCCATGTGAGAAGTCGGTTTCGCGCCAGCTGAAATCCAAGTCAGAGGGGACGAAATGCCCGAACCTCGGAGATTTAAGAGTGAGGGTTCGATCACACCATTACGACGTGTCACGGAACATGACTCTGGGTTACTGGCCCCACTATTGCCACTATGCAGGCTGTCTATGGCTCACTCTAGTTTCCACGGAGAACGGCGAAGAAATGCAGCTTTGCCTGTTGCCACAGTTTTTCTGTAGTTCTGCCATTAATTGTGCCCTTGCTATTGATGCTACGATTCGTCGTTCCAATGGCGGGCCAAGGTGCAAAGAGTAGCGCGTGCGGGTGGAGTGCTTGTTTTGCCTCGCTGCATGCAACAGGCGGGAGTTGAAGAGCACCACCGAGCCCGCAGGAACCACCACATCCAGGACGACGGCAGACGCATCTGCAGGGAAGGATGTTAAGAGTGCTGGGTCATTTCACGCGCAGCCATGACGAAAGAGTCCTATCTGAAGCCTTTGAAGGCTACTGGTAGGGCTAGGGTTCAGGCTTTGCTTCTTTTTAGAGTTAAGGCACGGGCAAGGGATCAGAACCCGCCTGGTGTCACCCACTCGCCTTGCGCGTGCAATCCGCTTCCGGGTTTGTGCTCGAAGTCGAAGGCGTGAGACCCTGGGACGACTTGAAGGCAGCCATTCTCCTGCCCGTAGCGAGACTCTGTACGATCTGATTGCTATATATATATATATATATATATATATATATATATTGATATTGCTGTACTAACTTAGCTACACTAGTACTGCTGTGTTGTCTTTTCAATACGAATCTCAGCATTGCTGCTCAAAGGGCGCAGGCGGGTGAGGTCTTCATCTGATGAATGGGGTTTGGCGCAATGCTGGCAGCTGACAGTAAGGCAAGCTGAGCCGCGGGGAAGTGATTTTGGAGTTCTTGCTTGAGGCTTCCATAAAAGCTGTGTAAAGCAACGTCGTGCTCCTCATCCGTGTCTTCAAGGTAGACGCCACAGGAGATGATCCTCTCCGAGGCAGTCCCGAAGTAGTGGCAGTCTTGGTGCCAGTCGACTGAAACCCCGCCGGGCCACATAGGAAAGAATTTGGTGCCGAAGACGTCCACATGCTCAGGAACCTCCGGACCGAGGAAGCTGTAAAGCCTCGAGCGCAGGAGCAACAAGCATCCACCAAAGCCTGCTTGCAACCAAAACCCGATGCCTGAAAACGCCCGAGACCCAGCTTACGTTCAGTGGTTTGTTGCCTGTCCGACGGACGAAACGGGGTTTACGTCCACTGCACATCCGCCCAATCTGATCCTGAACGATTTCCGTCGGGGAGCTCCTTGACCTTCGCAACAACTTCGGGGGACCGGAAGACCTGAAGCATGCGGACTCTAGAAAGCCCTCTTCTCATGATCCGGGGTCTGCAGAGCGTCTTGTAGTAGGCGTTTAAGAATCACGGGGTCTAAAGCAAGGACATCGAATAGTCGTCTTCAACATGAAGGCCTGTGAAGACTTAGGATCCCACTTTACTTCGGTCCTTACCCAGAACAGTGACCCGAAACCCCTGACTAGGGCTTTAGGGTCTAGACCAAACGCCCTACACTTCCGGGCCCTGTGAGGCCGAAAATCCCCGGCACCTCCAGCACGGCGCTTGAGGCGAGGGCTGCAGACTGAACCTTCCAAAACGAGAAGGCTCCTACAAGGGTACGATGTAAGGGATACTGTACCGCTTTAAGGGTTACTGTAGAGATGCGGCAGGGGTACTAGGACGCCAACTTATGAGCAGTATGTTGTGAGGGCCGCAACTACAGGGTATAACTTACCTTTGGTTAGTAGGGAATGGAAGAATGGTAGTAATAGTAGCAAACATTGCACCTCATTCCTCCATTCCCTACTAACCAAAGGTAAGACAAGGGTTACTACATGTGACTCTAGGGAAAGGGCTCGAACTGCCGGGCTTCTAGTCTAATTATATACTGCAAGGCTTTCATACAGGTCTTGAAAGCTGCAGGGCTCCATAGGGTTCTTAGGATTGTTTTGGTACAGGCTTCCTAACTATAGGGTTCCTGGGGTTGTTTTGGTACACGTTTCGGGTTGAAGCTTCCGACCCCGTGCTCGCAAGAAGGCTCAGTCTGGGGTCTGGGAAACACTGCTTGGACAAGTGCCCGGAAGCTCCAAGCTCGAAACTGTCGGAAAGATGACTTAGAGGAAAGCCCTGAAAGCCCTCCAACCTACTACCCACTACCCCGCTCCACATGAGCAGCGTCACAGTCTCGCGTTTCACAGCCCCACCGGTCCTTGAGGATGCGCCCAGGGACCGTTTTGCCGTGCTCGTTCACAGCAAGGACGAAAGCCGCACCGCCAGCATCCACAGCATTCCAGTCCGCCGTAGTCACCGGTGCATCTTTCCTGTGCTGCGCGGACAACCGGGAAATCTGGTTACGGGATCTTGCCGGATGTTGCAGATGGACCACCCTCATGACCAGCATCAGAAACTCCACCATAAATCAGGAGACCCTTCCTGACACTTACACATACAACGACCCTCAACTATGAGAATCATGCCCCCCTTAAAGGTTGCCACACTACTGGCTTCACATCAAAGACGCCCATCAATCCCAACTCTGGTTTTGTCTGATGCTGGGATTACTTCACGGGGCCATAATAGTCAGAATAGGGTTTTGGGGCCCATTATACTGTACTTATTACCAGGAACCCCCCAAAATCGCATTGGTAATCATTCTTGGCTTGGCAACTATAGTGCAAGGCTCATCATCAGATCCATACGAGCTCTGATCGCTGGCGCCTGCAATCGCGAGTCGTCAGGCTCAGACCGTTTGGGCTCTATTACAGTACCCTTAATTAAGGGTCCCTTATACTTATATTATAGTAGCCCCTTTAGGACCCCTTGAAAGGAACCCTGTTCTATACAGTTTTTCGCTTGGGGTTTGTGAGCTCTTTCTTCTCTGGCTCGTGAGGCTTATATGGCTTCGGAGCACAGGAGGGTTTAAAACTCGAGTCTCGCCCCTGGCTTTTCGTTTCGGGTGCTTGTAGACCAGCCACACTCATGCATGAACTTGGCGTGTGGTCCAGAAGTGGGAGTGATATTGAACCCCGAACAACACTCTCAAGCCCTAAACCCCCAACCCTAAACCTCAGACCCTAAACTCCCAAGCCTGATCCGGACGTTCTCACAAAAAAAGCACCCGAGCCACCTGCTTCGCCAGGAGGGCCTTGAAACTCAGGTAGCCCCTCTCCCAGAACTCCGACCTCTCTGAGTCCTGCGTAAGGCTTCTTGGCAGTTTTCAGACTTTGGGCTTCCTGGGTGTTAGGGTTTTAGGGTGATTTTGGCGTGTTTCAAGGCTCCGAGCTGGCATCCTAGATCATAATGCCCTCTGGAAACCCCCCACCATAGTACCAAAAGTCTGGCCCTCAACGTTCCGCAAGTTCCCGACTCAGCGACCTAACCGCAAGCTGAGGGACACAGTGGCCGTACTTGCAGGATGGTTTGCAGCGATGGTGGGCAAGCTTTGGCAAACTGCCGTAAGTATAGAGTTTGAAGTTTTGTGCTTCGGTAGGTTTTGCCCCAAGACCTCTGGCCTCAACCACGGCTGCGCCTGCCATGGAGCCAGATCGGACTTCCATCGAGGTGGTGGAACTTTGCACCACTTCTGCTGTCAAGGCGCTGATGTCTGAATCGTGTCTGCTATGGTAATCGGCCAAGGAAGGGAACACTTTCTGAAACAGGAGTTGCATGCCAGGAATACAGATCCTTGCAGCCAGTTTGCAGCAAAGAACCACTTGCTGTCAAGTCTGATTCTTCTCTGTGAGGCTTACCGCACATGTGTCCAGCGGCAAATCCCAAGCCTTAATCCCAAAGCACGGAAGGCACGATGAGATGGCAGGAAAGGAGCTAGGTGGCAATTTGGGAAACTTTTTGATTTCCTCCATGGCTCCTATCGAGGTACCTATTCAAATTCAGAGCCCCACAAAACTACAAAACTCGCAAGGTCCAATAAGAGAACTGCATTATGTACCAGTTCACGTCAATGTGCCACAATGCCAAATTCGAGAACGGCTACTGGCGGCTGACGAGTCAAGGGCAAAAATAGCACAGCACACACTGCGATCGCATTTGGTGTTTGAGCTCGGAAAAGCACAACATGTTGTTTAAACAACATGTTGTGCTTTTCCGAGCTCAAAAACGAAATGCGATCGCAGTGTGTGCTGTGCTGTGCTACAGTGCTACAGTATCACCAGCGTGATTGGTCTGGATCAAAATCTAGTCTAGAGAATGGACGTCACATCAGACTGGACAGCGCTGCGGGAGAATGGACAGCGCTCTGCAGGAGAACAGATGCGAGAGGTGCCGGGATCTTCGGACATGCCGTCCTTAGGGTACTTTGTACACAGCCAAGCGAGAGGCTCCGCCCAGAGGATATCGATACAAGGCCACTTCCGCCTTGCAATCGTCGTACTCAGCCCTGGTCATGTCTGGAAGGGAGTCCAGAAGCACACAGTGCGCGGTGAAGTCCTGAATATTCCATGCCAAAGTAGCCTTTGTTCTGCTTCGCTGCTTCCTCGACGCAATCGACCAGTGTCTTGACACCGGAATTGGGTTCTTGGCGCTTGTCCCCTTCGTTCTTGAAGCATCCAGAAAAGGCGATGTATTTGCCTTGACGTTCCACGTAGACCGCCACCCGGTTCGCATCTCCGAGAGGGAAAACATTCATGAGTAGCTCTTTCTGGCAGCTGCTAGGGTCAGCCTCCTCACCAAGATCCAAAGTCCTCGCCTACTTTGGCGCCAAGAGCAGGCACTCCGCCACACCATCCTGCGCCTGTCCTTGAGGGTACTCCATGCCGCAAGCTTCATATTCGCTGAACTGGGCTTTCAATAGGCACATGCTGGGCTTCATAGCACCGATGTGTTTCTTTCGCGCGCTGCCTTCGTTCTTCCAACAGCCGCCGAATTGAAACAAAATCACCCGAGATCTGTCGTTCGATACTGCTTGAAGAGTCTTGCCATGGTCCTCTCCGTCCCGTCTCACAAACGATGATTGACCGCCGGCTCCAACCGCCATGCGGGCATTGCTGGCCTGGCTCGCCCCTATGCTCGGAAGCATTGATACGGCCACCACGAAGTAACCGAAGCACGAGGCGCCGAGCATGATGGATCGGATTGATCAGAAAAGAAATGGAATGGGTCAGGAACAACTGCTTGACTATATAGGGCCACAGGGGATCCACGTGTTGGTTGCAAAGAGACCAGTTTCAGACTCTCGGCAACACACTAGACACCGCTTCGGCACGTCTGCCTACGCCCGATACATCGTCTTAGTTCAAGCATTTCAGCACCATCCAACTCCAGAGTGCCAGAATGCCAGCACAAAGTGGATGATCGTTGGGTTGCTTCTGGAGCGAGCTTACTCATCGTAGTGGCAGCCGTAGTAGTAGTGGTAGATAGTGGTAGAAGTACTGCAGTAGTAGTAGTAGTAGTAGTAGTAGTAGCAGCAGTAGTGTAGTAGTGTAGTAGCAGTAGCAGTAGCAGTAGCAGTAGCAGTAGCAGTAGCAGTAGCAGTAGCAGTAGCAGTAGCAGCAGTAGTTGTAGCAGTAGTAGTAGTAGTAGTAGTAGTAGTAGTAGTAGTAGTAGTAGTAGTAGTAGTAGTAGTAGTAGTAGTAGTAGTAGTAGTAGTAGTAGTAGTAGTAGTGTAGAAGTAGTAGTAGTAGTAGTAGCAGTAGCAGGAGTAGTAGTAGTAGTAGCAGCACTAGTTCTTTCAAGCATCAGACTCATCGTCTCACTCACCATCATCAGCATCACGACCGCTACCTCTGACACAAAAGCCGTAAGCATGTCGTGCTTCTTCAGCTGCAGTGTCGTATGCCGAGGACTGCTTTCATATCGACGCAGGCATGCTGTTGGCTTCCGTGGAAGCGTTGGCAACATGCTGCTGGAGAGGTTTTCCTTAACAGCTCAACACGAACCAGGCCAGCTGATGCAAACTGACACGATGCAGCCGCACGGTTTTTGGCCAGAGAGCTTCGCAGGGGCCGTCGCTTTCAAGCCTGGCGATTGGCTTCTGCATTCCATGCCCCGCCACTGGAATTTCACGTCTTGCACAACAGGGCTTGCAAATTTGGAAGAAAGCAAACTCAAGAGCAGCATCGTCGAACCGACGGCGCGGGGCAATGGTTCTGGTGTTCGGAAGCACGCAAGCATCGCCCTGAGAGTCCAAGCGGGGCATCTTGGACCATTGGGGATCAGTTTCTTTATGCGGCCTTCCGACCTTTCCAGAATCATTCGGGAACCGTTAGATGCAGGGCATCGGCCCGTGACTTTCGAGTTAGTCGGAGATCCCCTATAGACCAGGCGAGGCACCAGGCCTTTTGATTCAAAACCAGCCGTGATTCGATTGAAGTGAGTAAAGGCTTGGCGGGGCATCAGGTATGCTTTTTGGAATCACGTGTCAAATTCCAATCGGGGCGTCGGGCCTGCCTTGAAACATTCGGTGACGGGTTGTCGCGGACTCGCTGGCCCAATGATTCTGCTGCATCTTCAGCCAACTCTTCGATTCACTTCTGCATCACTGATTCACTCGCTTCGCGCCGGAGTAAGCTGTCTGGTTTTGTGGGACTATACACGAAGTGATGCTGCATGTTCGGCGAGGACAACCACCACCTGTATGAGCAACGAGGGCTCCTTCAGACAATCTCGGAAGTGGAAGCCGAGCCCGAAACTCAACAAGAGTGTCACCATTCTGATGTTTCCACATGATCACATGCCGCCACGGAAAAATGCGTGCTTGCACGTTCAGGTCCACTTCTTTCCACTTCTGCAAGAGTTGTTCCCTCCGGACACATGGTGTCGCGCTGTCGCGCTGCAACGAAAGAAGCACTTTGGCGTCGAACGTTTTGCGATGCAACGCGATGGCGAGCTTTGGGAGCCTCTGTCTGTCGTTTGAACATGCCGTCCCGCACAGCTTCGAACAGCACCCGATTCATCTCGGAAACATTTTGATTCGGAGAATCTGGCAACGGTTCCTGGATCATGGCACCATCCCTTCAACATGCACAACACCAACCCATGTCATCAGACTTGTTGCTGTCGACGCACGGCTTCACATCGCACATTGCCTAACATTCCTGCCCCAATGCACCAGCCTACGCCTGCTTCTGCTTCTTCGGCTTCTTTTTCACGACACCTGGCCGACATGGGCTCTGGCTTAGAGGGAGTCCTCTTGATTCTCGACTGAGCGGTCCTTGCGGCATGTCCTTCTTCCGCTTCAGCAGCTTGCCTTTCCAAACTTTGTTTATGCATCAAAGCATACGCTATATTGTGCATGACGAGCTGTATTCGACTTTATATGCATATACCTACAGATACAGCTACATATATACGTAGACATAGTTATTATACGTATGAATATGCATATCCATATACATATGCATATGCACATACATGTACATATATATATACATAGAATATACATGTCCTGCACATGTTATTATGTATATATGTAACATAAAAGGTGGAGATACATTACGTGTATCTTTCTACACATATTATGTGTAGGTCACACAGTGTGTGTGTGTGTGTGCCTGCATGCATGCGCATGTATACATAATTATACGTATATATACACACACATGTTATACATTGTACTCATACTATGCATTATTTGAAGGTTGACTTGGGGGGTTCCTGCCAGCAAAGCCTTGTAAAGGATGCCGCAGGATGCTTTTGGCGTGCTGGAGGCTGGCCTGTATCTGCCTATACTTCACCGAACCAGAAAGTCATACACCTGGCAACAGGAACGAGAAACGGGTGTCATCCGCAGCGCAAGCTTGGCCTGACCCTATATCATCTCTTGACATTACACGTACTGCCATGTACTGCGACATAATATACATATATTATATATACACACACACACCTATTTGTGATAGGCTTAAAGCCGTCCTCCTTCCTGGAGCCGAAACTTTATGAGACCCCCGGCTCAGCAGATGGATCCTGACAGCATCGGACTTGTGCCGAACTCAGGAGCCCACTTCTAGCAGGTTGCTTCTTCGCCTCTTCGCCAGCTGAACCTGCTCGGCTCGGCTTTGGATGAAGGGTTCGGGTCAGTTGGGTCCCCACTGCGGCGGAACCGCGTTCTGGCACCTGAACTGCTTTCGAACCCACAGAGTCTGGCTATTCCAAGGACTGGGAAGTGCCCTATCATTCAGCACGTGAAAGCGTGCGTGAAACGCGACTTCACCAACTCTGAAGCAGAAATCAGCTCGACTCTTATACAGTCTTGGAAGAGCTTCACCCCCAAGCCAAAGCGCGACCCCTTCTTGCCAGACCCAACTTCGTGGGACAAAGGGATGGCACTCAAATCCCAAGCTGAAAGCGGTGAAAGGACAAACCCGAACATCGGGGGCTTAATAACTCCATCATTCTCGATAGGGGCGATAAGGGCAAATCGTCAGTTCTCCGCCCCCCTCGTGTACAAAATCCCGAAGCAAGGGCCGCCTCAACCTCAGCCCTGAGAGGAAAACCGGAAACAGACCACCTCTCAAGTGGGGAGTTCTTAAGAGCACCCAGGCACCCCAGGGTTAGGGTTCAGGGTTTAGGGCTTAGGGTTTAGGGGGTTAGGGTTTGCGGGAAGCCCCAGGCTAACTAACCCGGGATATCCAAGCCCAGCGTCCGATCACGCAAGTGGCTGGGCCTTTTTCTATCGGGCTGCTTACGGCCTCGGCGATCTAAAGACAACAGTGGCGTAATATAGGCCTCCTTGGATAGGGTTTCTATTCTCCTGTCTTTTGCCAGATACAGAATAAGGGAATACGAAAACAAGTGGCTGTCTGTAGTGTTGCCTTTGTTGTCCCTAACATCCCTAACTTTCCTCCTCGTTTTGCTACTTTACGCAGTGTCATGCTTGGCTTTCTCGTTCCTCCTTTGTTCCCCTTCTGCGCAGTGACGATCTACAACCGATTTCAATTTCTGAAATCCTGCTGTTACCATTATTGAGCTAATCCTTTTTCCAATCTCGGAACATTTCCATCTGCATTCAACATCAGGACCCCGAAAAGGAACACGAACACTATCTCTTCAGACTATACCAGGGGGTCTGGGATCGGATTTCGGGCCTCGCGACGGGGGTCTGAAGGGCCACGGACCCACGCCGGGGGCTCTTGGAAATGACTTCGGGTTCCTACAGGTAGCCATGGAGGTTACCGTCCTTAAACCTGCAAGCCACCCTCGCGTCCCGTTTCGGGAGTCGTCCGAGGCTCCGACTGGCGATCCTTGCTTTGCCTTCGGCTTCAGGGCCTGTCTCTGTTGCTTTAAAGACAGGGAGAGAGGGACGTGCTGCGTACTGCATTCGCCGCCGCCACCACCACCACCACCACCACCACCACCACCACCACCACCACTTTCATCAATAACATCGGTGCCGTCACTAGATCGTATACGTCATCGCCGTCGACAGCAGCATCAACATCATCAACAACATCATCATCACCATCATCAGCAGCATTATCGGCATCACCACCGCCACCATGCTGCGTCAGCAGAAGCAGCCGCAGCAACAGCGTCAGCAACAGCAGCAGCATGGTCACAATGATGAGATGGCAGTTCGCTTCGTCGATGCGTGACTTCCTGACTTTCAATGCGACACCGCGCACTCACTAACAAACACTACGCAGGCCGTTCCCACCAAGGCCCTCCTCCTCTACTCCTCCTACTGCTAGTACTAGTACTAGTACTAGTACTAGTACTAGTACTAGTACTAGTACTAGTACTAGTACTAGTACTAATACTAGTAGTAGTAGTAGTAGTAGTAGTACTACTACTACTACTACCACTACCACTACCACTACTACGACTACGACTACGACTACGACTACTACTGCTGCTGCACTACGACTCCGACTCGAACTACGACTAAAACCACTGCTACTGCTGCTGCTGCTGCTACTGATAGCTAGTGCTACTGATACTGATACTGCTACTGCTACCCCTCCTCCTCCTCATCCTCCTCCTCCTCCTAAGACGACGACTGCTACTCCTACGGCGACAACTACTAACCACTACGACTGTTGCTTCTTCTGCTAGGGCCCGCACCACTACCAACAGCAATGCCCAAAACAACCACATCTGCACCGAAAGTCCTGGTACGAACTGGCGGGAGCGGCGGTGGTGGTGGTGGTGGTGCTGGTGGTGGTGGTGCTGCTGGTGGTGGTGCTGCTGGTGGTGGTGGTGGTGGCGGCGGTGGTGGGGGCGGCGGCGGTGGTGGTGTGTTTGTGGCCGGTCTTACAGGTAGCAGTACTCGTCATTCTCCTTTCTCGTCTCCATTATACCCAAAGCTCTGACCGTCGCCAGCCAGCCTTGGCACCCTTGGCCTTCGGCTTGCCTTTGGCCTGGGCCCTGGCAGTGCGGAAAGAGTGGACCGGGGGAGCAACAGGAGTAGCCATGCAGCGCAGCAGTGATCGCAAACAACCGTACGTCACCATTCAGACGTCATAACAAACGTCGTAGAGGCAGTTGTACTACTTGTGACAAACTATGATATGTAAGGGTGATAGCGACGAAGACAGAAACGACGACAGCAATGGCAAGACCGAGGGATGAATATTGCTGAAAATCTCAGACGAGGAATGTCGCCGCTCAGCCCTTAGTGGCACTTGACTTGCGTGTTCACGATCGAAGTCTTAGGGTGTAGGCTTTGAGTCAAAGCGATAGTCCGTAATCTCCAGAGCGACGGACATGCGCTGCTGCTGTTGCAGTTGTGTCTGTGTCTGTGCGTGCGTGTGCAGCTGTGATGCTATTTGTTGCTGCTGGGCGGCGGTGGCAGCGGTGGAAGTCGTGCGATGGCTGCAACTGTTCTGACTTTCACTTTGATCAGCACTGTTTCGCATCGAGGTCTACAACTTCATGTCATGGTCAACACGGGACCGAATTTGATCGCACATATGAGCTGGCATGCAATACAACATCAATTGCATGCACCATGAACACTCGAAAGCTCAAAACTATGAACCCCTACAGCCAAGAACCCTGACGCCCTGACGCGTAAACCTTGACAGCACAAGCCCTGAAACCCTCAAATCCCCAAGCCCTAAAGCCCCATATAAAAGCAGTAAACTCATGTGTGGGGGGGGGGGGACGCAATGTTTCGGCCCTGCAGCCCTCAACAGATATCTTATATAACCCCCTTGCAAACTTCATGGAAACCCTGGACATCAAGACAAGCTCGATCAAGCTCGTCTTTGGATCCTCTCAAAAGTGTCCCTGAGGCGCCTGAGCTTCCGCTTCAACGCCGATTTCTCGGCTTTCTTCTTCGCCTGCTCCTCCTTCACTCGGAGGAGCTCCTGGCAAAGAGGGACGGCCATGAAGTCGAGCCTTCGCCCCATTGGGGCTTAGGAAAAGATAGCATCTGGGGGTTTGAGTTTGGGATGTGGGGTTCGGGGCGGGGCGGCGGCGGGGGGAGGGGGGACGGGGAGGAGAGGAGGATACTTTTTTATGGTCTAGGAGTTCTAGGAGCGTGAATGATTTGATCAGAATGGCCTGGCTCAGGTACGAGCCTCGGTGCCTGCAGCGGTGGCGACAGCAGAGCTGTGCAAGATCATCTGGCAGGCGGACTAGGCTCACAGGCATGGCCCCTTTTTCTGCAAGGATAACACGCACAAATCACGAAGAACATTCAAGCAGCCAAAGAGTATCCGAAGTAGCACGCTACAGAGTGAAAGTTTGTACAGTATACAGTAGCTTTCGCAATTGTGTATCTTGGTTGCCTGTGCCTAAAAGAAGTGCGCTCTAACCCTCACAAGGGTTATGAGCCCAACGCTCTAAATCCTGTGCCGCTATGGAACACAACCTTGAAACGCCTGCTGCTGCTGGTTGGGGTGAGTCTGTTACGCAAGCGCTGCAAATGGGCGAAGAATCCGAAGTTTCGGCTATGGATCCTTTGCTGCTCGGTGGTGTTAGCGATGATGCTGCAGAGCCTAACTATGCAGATGCACTGGCATCTCAAGGTGATGAGCCAAATAGAGGTGGTCTAGAGCAAGCACCAACCCAAGTGGGTAATCAGCCGCCGCCGGTACAGATTGCCAGAGCTTCTCCGGCATCGCCTGGTCACAGTGAGTTGTCACGCATGGAGGGCGGGGGTATGGCTGCAAAGTGGGATCCAGACGAAGATGAGCTGGTTCCGGATTGTGCTAGCATGCCAGTTGTCCCAGAGGGCAGTGGCTCACACCTCCAAGGGTCTAAAAGGGCGGAAGATATTCAGATCAGGGGTACCGCTCGCGCCGCAGCTATGGACGTTGATGAGCCTAGTGCTGAGGTAAGGGTCAATCCTGAGCGAGGGTTGGAAGTGGAAGCAGCGGTACAACGGCAGGTTTTGAGCATCTTCCAAAGCCAGGTGACTCCATTGTTGGGGCAACTCATGGATCGACTAGAGGCTATGGAAGCGAGACAGAGCGCTCAACATGACTTGGCGAGCGACTTTCAGAGGATGAGGTTGGGAGTTGAGTCGGCAGCATCGGCGGTAGCTCCAAGAACGTCTGTAGAGGCTAGGGTAGAGCATGCATTTCCGGGGCTGCCCATTGTGGATAACTCCCAAACCCCTCTGTCTCCAGCTGGTGCATCCGGGGGCGCTGATCCTAGTGCGGGGTCTGGTGAGGAGAAATCTGGGTTGGTGATGGTGTCGGGAGTTGAACACGCCTGGCGCTTGACGTCGGAAGGTCTACAACTTGAACCTACCACGAAGCCCAACTCCGAAGCTAACGTATTTGGTTCGAGAGCTTTGTCCCCATTTCAGGCTGTTCATTCTGAGGTTAAGCCACAATCTGCAGGAAATCGGCCCCCGAGGTCCAGAAGTGGTAGTCCGGTTAGGCGTAGGGGGTTGTCTGAAAGTCCCGTAGCTTCAAAGAGAGCTCTGAGGTCATTGGTTGCATCGGCATCGGATCCCACCCATAACCCTTGCTCTCATGCTCCGGTGGCTGCTGCTCCTGAGGTCTTGCAAGCTCCGGGTGAAAGGACTCCTAAGGTGATCAAGCCTACGATTGTTTATCCCATCTCTCCAGGTGGCACTGAAATCCGACCGCCGCCAATTGCGGCTGCTCCGAAGTCTCCTGATGTAAAGGCCCCGCAACCTGTAGTGTCCCCACCTTACCCCTGGCCGGCAAGCAATCTACCCAGAACGCTTCCAACATTGACGGCTCCACCGGAAGTTCCAAGCGAAATGCGGGGAACTAGTGTGAGAGTTGAGGGCGATTCCTTCACAAACGATTGCAGTGGTGGGTTAGGCTCTGCCGGTGGGAGTTCCGAGGGACGCGAAGGTTTGGAGTGGTTTTATAATGGGTTGAAACGGGTTTTCGCCACACATGGTGGAGACCATGACGGGAGAGCTGAGGAGGTGAAAACTTCAACGGCTGAGCTTCAGAAGCTGGTCATTAATGATGGGGATAAGGAGGTCTCGCCTCTTTTAGCTGGTGACTGGCTCACTTTGGCAGGTCCGGTCATGAAAGATTTAAGTCCAAATAGCGCTGAATGGTGGAAACAAGTACTTCAAGCATCGACTGATCATTACCAGCGTTGGTTAACCTCAACTCCTGTTGAAAGGCTTTCTCTCAGACCCAACCAGCCTCATAGATTCGAAGGGACGCGATTCTCTCGTGTAGAACAGCGAGGATTGCACCTGATCCTTAAAGCCATTCCCAACTCCTTGAAGGAGGAGCTGGTAAGCACCCAACGGATGTCCTGCATTGATGCGGTCGCGAAGATCTTTTGCACCTATCAGCCGGGTGGTTTAAAGGAGCGTTCGGCTTTGTTGCGGTTTCTCACCACACCAGAATCGTCTTCCGAGGTGAGCGTAGCGCTTAAGCATTTGAAACGGTGGGCTAGGTGGTATCGTAGGGCTGAAGACTTACAGGTCTCATTGCCGGATTCCACATTGCTTCTGGCAGGATTGGATCTTCTTACCAGTAAAGCGCTGAGCAAGTTTCCGGAAACCCAATTCAGGCTGTCATCTTTTCGGTATTCGCAAAACATTGACATGGTTCCTACATCAGAAAAGGTTTGTGCATTGGCTGAGATGTTACAGGCTGAGTTGGAGGTTTTGGACACCGGTATCGCGAAGACCACTAAGGCAGCGAAGGTTGAGGATACCATTGATCCCCCAAAGGGCAAACCCAAGGCCAAAGCCAAGGCGGCATGTAAGCATTGGATGACTCCTGGCGGGTGTCGCTTTGCTGGTAGTTGTACATTTGCTCATTCGCCGCTTGGAAAGGGAGACAAACGGTGTTTCTCATGCTCATCTACTGAGCACTTCAAGGATGCGTGTCCATACCGGGGTAAGGGTAGTGCTGGTACTGGGGACGGGGGGAGTAAAGGGAAGGGCGCCAAAGGCGGGAAGAAAGGCTCTGAGGAGCAGCCCAAGGGTGATGCGGGGGCAGCGGCTGATGCCGCTCAAACCGCCGCTAAGGTTGAAGATACTGCGAGGCAGGACATGTTTCGTGAAGTTACAGCTGCCATCAAACAACTCACCCAAACATCATCGGCTGCATCTGTTAAGGCCATCGCTGTAGGAGTTTGCCCGACCCTTGAAGGCCTCCCATACCCTAAACCTCAAGCTGGGAGGATGACTGGTCTGCTAGACTCAGGCGCTACATTGTGTGTTCGTCCCAGACGGGAAGGTGAAGAACCGGTAGAATGGCGAAAGGTTGCACTTGCAGAAGGTGAAACCTACATGGGTGTGTCGGCTTTCGGTACTTTGATCGGTTCAGGTGATAGCGAGCCCATTGTGTCCATGTCCAAGTTGGTACGCCTTGGCTTTCATGTAGCATGGCGTCAGAAAGCTTGTACTGTAGTGCATCCTACTTTGGGACGAGTCCCAGTGGTCGTTCAAGACGGGTGTCCTAGAGTAGATCGTCGGGTTGCCCTTGATTTGATCGCTAGGATTGAACAGTGGGAAAACGATGCTGGTCAGCAGTCCACCATGAATGCTGAAGGAGTGGCTTTGATTCACGAGGCCATGCAGGGTATGGGGGTTGCTGACTATGCGGAGGGTTTGTGTAGGGCGATTGAAGTTGACGACGGCGGTGAGGGAATCATCACTGCGTGGACGGAGGCTCTTCTGAGGACCATGTACCCCGCTGTTCCCGACAACGTTTGTGATGAGGTGTCACGTTTCCTTCCAGGTATGCACGAAGCTTTATGTTGGAATCGTAGGAAGCGTAGGTCTATGCATCGGTCAAAGGGGGTCATCCTGAACTTGTGTTGTGGAGACAGCCGACGCCAATTTCAGCAGACAGCTGCGCTTATGGGTTCCAGGTTGTTGATGTAGATGTGAAGGAGAATTTGAATAGCCCCCATACCATGGCATATCTGCTTCGCCTAGCGGCAGCTGGGAAAGTGAAAGGGGTGTTCTCGAGGATGCCCGATCGCACATGGGATACTGGATCCTTAGCTATTCGCTCTCGGGATGGTAAAGGGAGATGGGGTTTGGACTCAGCGAGCGCTGATGATTGCAGCAGGTTGTTCCATGAGGATTGTTTGTTGCTGCGGGTGTTGATGCTAAAGGTGGTATCGGCAACGGGCTTGAGGTTGAGATTTGGTGAGTGTCCTCCGCTCCTAAGTATCACTGAAGGCCCAAGGGACCCCCAAAAGAACATGCCATCAGTGTGGTGCACGCCTGAGTGGGAGGTTACAGAGGGGTTTTTAGGAGTTCGCCAATACCACTTAAACCAAGGACCCCTAGGACATGAAGACATCAAGCCAACCACGATTGCTGCTCATGGAGTGTACTGGCCACTTTGGATACGGGATATCCTTGACAACACGTGTTACCCCAACATTCCCCCCAAGGGCGAGAATCATGAGCATCATGAGGTGAGTTCGTACTGGGCACTCGGTCTGAAACAGGCTGCTGCCGAAGCCATCACCAACATGGCAGATGTTTGGAAGCGCTACCACGATAATGCTGAGTCTCTCAAAGCCCTCGCAAAGCGCAAGGTTCGAACATCATTTAAGGATCATGTAGCACAAGGCCACATTCCATTCAGGGCAGATTGTCAGCACTGTTTGGAGGGACGCCTTCGTGGTCGCCCGCACAGGCGACAGCCAGCGGCGGAATCGTTTGTGTTGAGTTTGGACTTAATGGGCCCGCATAAAGGCGGAACGGACGAGACACTGAGGTCAGTTCGGTATTTTGTGGTGGCTGTGTATACCTTTCCTGAGTGCCTTGTAGGTGGAATAGGAGCTTTACCAGAAAACCCAGATGAGGCCCCCGATGAGGCTCCACATGAGGCTCCCGATGAGGCTTCACATGAGGCTCCGGATGAGGCTCCACATGAGGCCCCCGATGAGGTTC